AAATATTTTCTCAAACAAATGAAATAACATACATACAAAGATATTTACATGGATGTATGCATATGCAAATACATGTATGTAATGCATAGTAAGAATTTATATTCACACTAAGATACAAAATGGAAAAGGCAAAGATTGCTCCAAACAAATGGAGTAATGTACATATAAAGATGTTTACATGGATGCATGTATGCATTACATAGTAAAAATAAAAATTCATATTCACGACTATATAATAAATTACTCTTTAATTTACAATTAAGCATTCGCCTATTTTAATATATGAAAAAATGAAATGGAATAATATATGAATGAATGTATGAATGCATGAATTAAAGCATGTATGCATGAATGTAATAAGAAAGATTTAATAATTGAATGCATGCAAAAAAAAAAAGTTAGTAAACATGATAAATACAAAGAACAACATAATATATATAGAGAAAAACACAAAGGGTTAATATGTAAATAATATATACAAAGAACAATAAATTTACAAGCAAAACAAATATCTTATCGTATATCCTATTTAGAATTTTCTAATCCAAGGGAAGGTATGGCTTTAACTTAGCAAAAAACCTATTACAGATTAGTATGACATCCAATTCTCGCCCATCATGGTTTATAAACAAAAAAGATTCAATTTGAGTCAGAGTTTTTTGATAGTCTATACAGAGACATGAAATCTTACGAAGGCGTAAGTACTTTACTCCTTCTTAAGGGATAGAGCTCGGGTATAGAGCTTATGTTATACATATGCACATGAATGATATAAATATAAAATGAATAAATAAATAAATAAATAAATAAATAAATATTAAAAATTCTTAAATTTATTACGTTAGGATTGGATAATAAGAAATCATTTACTGGCCGACTTTTAATGTTTCCAATGGAGTTGCCAAACTATCATAACGTATGGATCTGTAGACCTATCATTAGATATAAATTTTAGAAGTTACCATAAATCTTTTTTGTTTAGGTGCAATTGATCACCTAACTAAATTTGTCTCATTTAAAGATGAGTCTTAAGATTAACTTATATATATATATTTAAATAGTAGATTTTGATCCACGAAATCAGATATTGAGTTTAGGAGTGCAATTACGCTTAAGGAAGGTTATAGCACCCTTATAACGCCTATCTAAAGGATAATATCAGTTTGATTTCAAATTATCCAAGTTTAAAATATCTTTATAATTTTACCAATAATTTAATCATTAGAAATTGATCTTAAAAATATTTCAATAATTTGATAACAATTTAAGATAATTTTCTCAGCTTAAAAGTATTCGTGAAGACTAGTGTTATACTTTGAAGAGGCTCCATTATCGTATGATTAATATTTGAAAACAATCAGTAAAATATTTTAATAATTTGGTAAATTTTACTTTGATACAACTATTTCAATAGTTTGATAAGATTTTTATTTGAAAATTATTTACAAAATTTATTTTAAGAAACTTCATTAAATCTTTCAATAATTTAGTAAGATTTAATTCAAGATTTAAATTATCTAATAGTTTGTTAGGATTAAAAATAATTTATTTTTTTATAAATATTATGTTATGAAATTTTTTCATAGTTTGATAGAATTCATAAATTTAAAAAATTTTAAACCTATAAAAATATTTCAATAGTTTGATAAGAGTTATAAGTTTATTTTATAAACAAATTTATTATTATCATCTTATATATTTGTAAACATCCATGATCAAAATAAATAATAAGTAAAAAGATAAGATAAAAAAAATTTTGTACTTGAACCAAATCAAAGTTGAAATAATAATAAAAAAAAAAACAGCTTAAAGTGGCTCCCCGCTAACTTTGATCCAAGCTTGAATGAGGCCTTGAGTTCACAAATGGGCCCAAGCTTATTCCAGATGACACACGGGCTGTAGCAATTGGGCTAACCACTGGGCCTGGGCGAGCTTATGCAGGCCCCTGAAATTGGGTCGAAGCGGGTCAGACTCACCTGGGCTGGGTCGGTTCAGAAACATAACGCGGGTCTTAAATGGGTCAAAGGAACCGGATTCCTTAGTATCCAAATACGCCGTTTTGCCTTTGTATTTAATCCAAAAATCAGACTGTTTCCTCCATTTTACCATTTTCTGCTTCTCTCTCTAACCCTAAATTCTCTCCCTTCTCTCTAACTTGCTCTTCTCTCAAACCCAGAAATTAACCAATCCTATTCCAGAATCCATTGCGTCACCGCCACTGTCGCTGCCGGCTGCCGGACGCCAAGCTCGTTCGCCTCCTTTCGTCACCAGCCTATCACAGCCGGTTTTTCCTTCTGCAACGTAGATTCTTCGTTCCCACCGAAACTCCAAGGATTTTTACCAACTTCTTTATTCAACTTCCTCTGCAGATTTTGATTTTCTTTGCTTATGATCATCTTTTGTTTCTGACTTTTTTTTTGGTTTATTTACAGGAGGTGGCCGTTTCGCTGGAGATTGAGGACGATGGCAGGACCGGCTTGAGTGGAAATTGGTGATTTGATCTGTTGGGTTTTGGTCTAGTGTTTGTGGGTGTCTGTGGAATTGTTTGCTTGCTGTGACGGAGACTCGGGCCTGCTTGGTGTTTTGAATTCTTGATAGCCTTATGACCCCTGATTTTGGCTCTGAGTTGCCGCTAATTGCCTCAGTTTGATAAAACTTTGCCCAAGAATTCTCAATTGCCTCTGAATCGATTGTGAAGTGAATTGCTATCAGGCACCCCCTCTGTTTATAGGGATTGAATCCCTTTCAATTTGGAAGGCAAATCAATTTAACCAAATCTAAGATTTCTTCTAATTTGATTTGATTGTGAATTAATTCTATGATTGCATGAATTAAGTCTCAAGAAATTTCAAAATCATCAAATCATTAATTTCCCTAAATTCAAGATCTTCAAGCAAATCCCCCACATTTTTTTGTTCGGTTTTCTGATTTTTTTTCCTTTTTCTTTTTATTTTTCCTTTGACCAAAAACAAAAATAAAATTAAAATTGAAATAAAAAATCAAAATTTGTTCAGGCTTTTAATCATTGGTTCCAACATTTTACATCAAGGCCCAATTTACAATTGAAAGCCCGTTTTAATTATGATAAGTCTCCGAACAAAATGGGGTATATACAAGATTACTGAAGGTATATCTAAGATATTACTTGTTGAGATGGTAAGGATGTATCCTGCAATCTAAATGACATAGGCGCTTTGTTTGCTTGTAGCCAGATGGCCATGTTCTCTTGCGAGATTATGCTGCTGGAGATTTTGCTCATATAAGTTGTTTAGAATAATCAAATGTCTACTCCTCTTCAGTCTCATTTGTAAGAGTCGTTGATGCATGCAGATTGTATCATATAGTTCTTTCATTCCTACCTTGTGTGCTAGGTGACATGTTTCTTCTGATTTGTTTCAAGAGGCGATTCCTTGAGATGAACAATTTCTTTTCTGTTCAAGTTATAGAGGAAATGATGGCATCATAATCTGTTTATCTCCTGTTTTACTTCCCTGGAACCTAGATTGTGTTCTGCGTTATGCTTGGTTGTCTCACCTTTTTCTTCATCGAAGAAAGTATTTTAATTAAGATAGCATCCATCTTTCTTCTGTTTTTGCATGCTCTTAACTTTTAAGGTGAAACTAGAAAACAGGAATCAGATGATAAGTGAGGGCTTTTATGTACGAGGTGATGGAAATGTAAGTATGTTGTATACTATAGATTATATTTTTTCTTTTTCATAAGCAAAACTCATCTTATTGCCTGATTTCCAATCGTTGTTAAATTCTTCTCTCTAGTGTTCATTTTCCTTCTCCGAAGACTTCTTGTCAACCTTATTTTTAGAAGCTGGCTTCAACACTGTAGATACAGTACATACCGCAAACAGATCAAGAATCATCATAAAAATATATGGATCGGTAGGTTTAATAGTTGATTATTGCTTAAAACTTAAAAGTGATCTATTCTTATTCTTCTGGTTATCTATAAATAAGTTTCTAAGCCATAAGTAATTGGTGTCGTCTATGTTTTTATCGTTGATGGTGAGTTGAATTGCTTTTGCCAAGGGGTTTTGAAGTCTTCAGTACAACAGTGCACTTTTGCTAAGATGTTACCTAAAAGGTATACGTCCGCATGCGTTCTTGAGCACCTGTGAATTTACCAACTTGTAGCTAATGCCTTGAGGTAGTTCTGCACCTCTCAATATCATGAACTTGCTACCGTTTGTCAGCTTTCGACTTTTTGCTCTGATTCTGTGTTTACTTAAATTGAATGAATATCATTGTTAAGAGAGGAGAGAACAACAAAGTTTGCATTAGATTTTCTGGTGTAGCAAAGGAAAATGATTTGATAGGATAAGATGAAGGGAAATGCAAATGGGGAGTTGAGAATAAACTATTTAGGTTTATAAACCAAATTTCTCACCATATCTGTCTTGGGAGAAAAAATTGAAATCGCTAATGTTATACTCTAGGGAAAGAAGGCAAAGTAGCTCCATTTCTTTTTCTCTGCTGTTCTTTTTGGCTTTCCTTTTAGTTTCTTCAATTCTAATGGTGATATTTATTGCCAGGTACTGGATACGAGCCGTTTTTAACTTGGAATGATGTATTCCAGATTTAACACAGATTCTGCAATCCAGATGACAGTCTTGTGATTCATACATCGAATGCTCAGCAATCAGCCAAGTTTGGTTGTTTTGTGGCTGGGGTGCATAATCCCAACATTTTTTCACTACAAATAAAGGATATTTGAATCTTGACCTTCCCTGATGTGAGGATCCACGTGGGACCTATATGAGAACAACATTGACCCCAAATTCGTGGATGGAGAAGATCTAATGATTATATTCCATTAATAGCCGTCTTCTGGTATGGACTGCCATCTACCATTGATTTTTTTCCAATTGAAATTTAACCTGAATCACATTATTGTCAAACATGTTCCCCCTAGAATGTGACTTCAAAACTGCTCTACCACCCTCCGGAACAAAACTGAAACTTTCCTCTCCATTCTATACAGAAATTAATATAATGAAATCCACCAACTGAGCCAACTATCCTATATTTAGCAGGTGGTGGAACATGTTCAGGTGGGCTCTGCAACTACCATTGTCTAACAATCATTAGATCGTTTGTTACAACTAAGGAATCAATTAAACAAAAAAAAAAAAAAGGACTTGGTTCTTTTATAATGGCATAGCAACTGATAAATTCAACACATTTCATTGTTTGGTGGCCATCGGATTCTTTAACCTTGTGAATGTTGTTCTCCACAGCTTTATCATATGATGAAGGAGCTGGGACATGGTGTTGATGAGGATTCAATTCAAGCTTTATGATTCATGATGAAGGGTGGTTGGCCTTACTGTTCCCAGCAAACTTTTTTATTGTACTACTGAAATTGTTAGTTTCTGGATCTAATACATGCTTTGCAAAATTTGAAGACAATACTCATAATAGAGCAGTAACATTTTCCGCAATGCAATGTTCCTACTTTTCCTATTCGTAAATTTTCAGGGCGATATCTAGAACGACTCCAGGACTCCAGGTCCTACATTCCATGAAATGTTCCTACTTTTCTTACATACTCCTGGTGAAGCCACATTCCATGAAGCAAATGCTGAAAACAAATTTATTATTACTATTTATCGATCAACCATGAAAAAATTGTAACTCTAAGTAAATTTAAAGTCCTCCATTTCTTCAAACATATCGCACGAACAAATTGGTAGGTTTCTATCAAAAGAAATCTCCTTCAAGCCTCAGAGGTGGATTTTCCATGTGGGAAACAAGAAAGAGAACTAGAATTATGAACAACTGTTCCGTAGGAAAATTTTCAGGGCGATATCTAGAATGACTCCAGGACTCCAGGTCTGCTTTAAGGCAGGACTAGGCACCGAAACAGTTTTATCTTCTATGATGAATATGATTTCACTCTTCTCAACTGCTGAGGAGCTCCGGAACAATTTACAAACGACCAACAACCTAATTCACCAGGCTCCTTGTCCGACTGTCCTGCAGGTCCCCTTTTGGGTGGAAGAAAGCTGGCCTTCCACGTTCTGGTCATAGACTTTAAGCGTTGCCATCCGCTTCTTACAATGATCTACGTTTGAATTTCTATTTCCACGTTAGGATTGTTTGTCATTCCTTCCTGATTATCCATAATAGAAAACATACAATTGAAATATATTTCAAGAAGATTTTGAGGAATTTTCGAAGGTTTACTTGGGAACTATTTGGTGAATCTTTCAACCAGACAGAAGTCAAATGGCTATTCAATCAATCAATTCCCAATTTGTTCAAAAGCTCTGACTAGTTTTTATGATGGTGATCATGTTCTATACAGCTTATTCATAACCAAGTCTACTTTAAAACCGAATCAGTAAGGTTCATTGTCCGTCCATATTGCCAAGATTTTCAAGAGCATTTTGCTCATTCAGGGTCTTAAAAGTTGTGCTTAGATTATACATATCTTTAATTTCATTCTTTACCAATCGCATAAATGCAGTTTGCAATATGGAAGTCACAAGTGATAGCAGGCTCCAAGGCAACATGCATAAACATAAAATATATATATATATATATATATATATATATATAGAGTAATAGCAGTGGTAGTTTACTAGTCTTCATGCAGCAGCTAACCTGATTTTCCTGTGATCCATTCTGTGGAACTGAATTATAAAGTGGTGGCTCAGAAGCAACTTTCTCACTGTTGTTGGCTTCATTTTCCGACGCAAGATCCCTTAGGCGGTTCAGCGCTGGCAACACAACTGAATCAAGGTCTGGCCTATCCTTTTTCCTTAGCTCACAGCATTGTAAAGCAAGTTTTGCTAATGATAAAGCCTCTTCAACAGGCCAATCTGGTACTGTTGGATCAAGCATTTCTGCAAAGGTTCCTTTCTCAATTGCCTCCTGAACATGGACAGTCAGTCCCACTGGTGGCCTTGATGTTATCAGCTGTAATAGAACCACACCAAAAGAATATAAATCTGATTTTACACCTAGCATTCCTGTTTGCTGATACTCTGGATCAATGTAACAAAATGTTCCCCGAGTCGCTGTTAAGCGATATTCAGTGATACTATCAGCAAAAGTTGCTGGAACTAGTCGGGACAAACCAACATCACTAATCTTACTCACATAATTCCGGTCTAAGAGAATGTTTGCAGGCTTGAGGTCACGATGTACCAGTGGCTCTGGCTTTGTTTGGTGAAGGAACAGAAGGCCCGTGGCAATTTCAGCAGCTATTCTAAACCGGGTTTTCCATGGGATCGAGGGAGTGTTGTCTTTCCGGAAGAGCCGATCTTCTAAGCTGCCATTTTCCATGTATTCGTAAAGCAGACATCCATACTCAGGGCAGGCACCTATGAGCAGAACCATGTGTGGATGTCTCATGCAGCTTAGAACCTCAACCTACAATACAGATTTATTTAATAGAAAAGAAAGGAAAAAAGAACAGATTACGTAAAAAGGATGTATTCAACAAGACAGTAACTGATTTAAACTTATTCACCAATAAAAGAAATAACCAATGTTTTGGGCCATCATGACATAAATAATTCTACCATGCATTTGACCTTTAAATCAATGAAGTTTAATTTTTCTTAAGAAACAGAATTAACACAGTTACCTCTTGTTGGAATTGCCTTTGTCCCTGAGATATATCTGGCCTTAAGACCTTGACAGCAACAGCAGTGTGATCAAGGGTGGCTTTAAAAACAGGTCCATATCCTCCTTCACCAATCTTATTTGAGCTTGCAAAGTAATTTGTTGCAGCTTCAATCTCATCAATAGTGTATTTTCTATAAACAGGTTTATTGTTAACCAACTGATCTAGTGCTCTCCTTTTTGCTTCTTCCTCATGAGTAGCCTTCAGTTCTGCAAGTTTTCTCTTCTGCGCCTCCATATCTGCCAAACGTCGAGCCATATGTGCTGCTTCCATGGCAGCCTTGGTTTTTTGTGTTTCTGCCTTAGCCAAAGCTATTGCTGCCTCCTCAGCAAGCCTGGCTTCCTCTAACTTGCGCTCTTCTGCTGCTTTCCATTCCTGAAGCTTCCTCGCCTAGGAACAGAAAAGGTCCAGTCAAGAAAACCAATGATATATTGCAAAGTTAGTTTGATAAGATCACAATGATCATAAGATCAGATCTTACTTTTTCTTTTGCCACAACAGCTTCTTTGGTAACCAAGTTAAACATTTCCAAGGATTTCTTCAATTCTTGTTGAAGTCTCCTCATCTCAGTCTCCAAGCCTCGCTGTTTAGCTCATGGAAAGGATGAAATATGTCTGAATAAAATGGTCTTACACTTGTAAAATAAAGAATTGGAAGACATATTTAGGTCAAAGCAGACCACTACATGTTGAACGGATGCAATTCAAAGACATAAGACTGGAAAAGAAACAATGGATTCATGATAATCAGGCAATCATACCTACATTATTGTAATGTAATGCTATCTTGAATTTCAGCCCATTCAGACAATAAAAAGGCAATAAATCTATGCAAATTGAGGGCAACCAATAATAGATGTGTAGGCTTTCAGGACTCCTTTGCTTTAGGGTATAGCTTCTTTAAGAAAGTTAGCAGCCAGTAAAAATGCTGTTGCACTTGCACCCGCTAGAAACAAATCAAAGAAGATGCTAATTTGATGTTGTCATGTTGTTCCATCATAACTTGAACCAACCAGTTATGTCAAGAAGTAATTATATGTTTTTATGTTTGACCTCCAAAAAGCTATAAGATTGTAACATATTAAAAGGAACACATCAGAAACGACTAACAATAGTACAGGTTCAACAATCTGTTGTTTCACTAGAAGATGCATCTTTCCCTTTTCACCTATTGAGTTAAATGTTGGCTATGGTAACCAATATGATGACCCAGGCCAGTACTGCCACAACATTCTACCTTCCAACAATTGTCGACTAGGTTAACAACTAACAAGCAAACATAATTCCCCTAAGAATTTATTACAACATACTCACAGGTGTCAGGGAGGCGAAAGAACTGGAATTGTCAGCTTTACAGTCTGAACTGTGACTAGATATGTCAGTTGATTGGCAACTACGTGGCCCTGAAAAATTACTGCTCTCCGATATGGAAATTCTATCAGGGGATTTTGGTGTTTGACTTCCCGTTGAAGGTGCAGGTGATTTAACTTCGTCATTTGTCTTCAACTTGTAATGTGGTGTCACTTTAAAGGAATGACTGATTCTATCAGAAGATATTCTGTAATTCCTGCCTTCACAGCTTGAAACAGTTCTGTACAAGCAAGTATGAGTCAGTGGCCACAAGACATGGACATGGAGGGTGTGGTTCTGCATCAATGCTAGCAGTGCAAGTAAATATTTGTAAAATTTTAATACCACAGGCTTAGATCCGAAACCAGAATTCTCATCTCAGGAAATTGAGAAGTGGAAATATTAGCAAGATTCATCTTCTGTTAGTTTACGTTTTAGGTGGTATACAAAATCTTTTTCTTCTGTTAAATAGAAAAGAAGATGAGATCATTTCAGTGTTTCATACTAGATTCTCATTGCCTTCTCATTGACATTGGCTGATAATTCTAATTTACTTTCATTGATGATATATATAATTTGTTTCTCCTGAAATAAGGGAAGTCCTAAGTGACATTTTCTGAATATGAAACTCATAGAGATTCTGTTGCATCTAAATCATGGTGGAAAACTATGCAATAGATAGATGCTGTCACAGCCCCAGTTGCATTTTACCATCTCAAGGATTTTGATGTCATGATGATATATTTCAGTGGTTCTTATGTTGATACTCATTTAGAGGGCCTAGGAAGATTGGAAAATGTTAATTTTGACGTCAAACTTGTTAATTAGCAGCCACCAAGAAGTAATGTTGCTATAGTATATCCATCTTACCTGTTTAACTCTTCAATCTTTGGGCTATCAAATGCATGTTTAGACAGAAGTGCTCTCAGATGCGGTGAATTCTGTGGAGTTCTGCTTTCTTGAGATGTCTGAGGCCTACTTGCTAATCGGGTAATTTGAACTTTTCCTTTTGATATGACATGTACTGCACAGGATTTTGGTGCAACTTTGAGCAAGCTGGTTGGCACATCTGGATTTCTGAGTTTCCTGAAATGACAATTTCCAAAATCATGATAGGAAAATGCAAACAATACTCTTGGAGTGATTAGTGATGGCAAAACAATCTTACCATGAGAAACAATTATGTGCAGGCAAAGTGTCTAGTACTACTACTGATTGCAGAAATTTTCGCCACTATTGTCTGCAATGGATTTCTATTGTTTTTTCTGTTTCAAAAATAAATTCTATTGTTTTTTCTAACCCGAAAATGAAAAAGTTTGTTTTACGTTGCTGTTATGTTGCAGAGTTTACACTACTCCATGAAGTGAAGAAAGACCTTGTTTGTTCACTTATATAAATTTAAAGAAAAATGATCAGTTACCAACTTCTATAGACTATCTATATCCGGTGACCAATAAAAACTATGGATGCATTTCTAGTTTGTGGTGAAAAGGAACTGAGGTGAAACATAGGCACCAACATTGACTATCTATCTGGTGACCAATAATTTTTGGATGAAAATAACATTATCGAAAAAAATCACATAATTATTGAGTTGAAACCTTCAGGTATACTTAGTTCAATATAATATACTTGAGAGATAGAGAGAGAGAGAGAGAGAGAGACCTTGTAAGAACATTCCGGCCGGAAGCACCAACAACGATATTGCCAATATTGCTTTTATTGATGAAATCAACAAGGGCACTTGGTACATCAATGTCATGGAGAACCACCTCATGTGATTGAATCTGAAAGCTCCAGTGTTCAGGAAAATCAGCTTCATTTAAATGGTAAATGCATACAATATCTGCCAAGATCTTAATTTACATAAATTTACAGCAAGCTGGTGCAGTATTCAATATATTGTAAAGTTATCAATAGCCCTTGCCTTGTCATATGTGATTGATAACATATGCACAATTAATTTTTATGTGGGGGGAGTCTTTAAGTATCCAAGTAAGCAGGGAAAATAACCTGCTACCAGAGCAAGCTGTACAATTGATACATAAACAAAAAGTTTTTGTACAGAAAAAGAAAGGCAAATTTGAGCTTCAGATATATGTAAAATTGTTAACTACACAGACCTGAAGAGATCAGGCGAACTGAAGTTAAGCCGTTTATGGCAGGAAATGCTTTCTTAGAATCGAACGCTTGTCACTTAAAGTAAAAGTCTAACGCTATACCAACAAATCACATGACCAGAGAGTATCTTCACCTTTTCTATTTTTTCTTTATATAAATGGCCATAATATACATAACATCCAATTTGCTAATGACTCACCCCCTTTCGAGCACAGTATCCTCGGTAAGGAAGGAAGAATTGTTGCAACTCAGCTTCAGATGGTGGCCGACTATCCTTAGGTGCAGCTTCAAAATCCTCTGTCAAAACCCAAAATAGCACAAATCAAATACAACAAGAAATGGAGCTAATGAAAATACCCTCATTGCTATCTGCACGAGACAAAAGAAAATTGATGAAATAAGTTGCATTGACAGGAATTATCAGCACAAAGCTCTTATACCTAATTACATCAGTAACATTGGCCAGAATTATGCTTAACCATAATTACAAAAGATACAAGGGATTCTAAAATCTGTCTACTTTTACCAAACCCAAAGTTTAGAATTTTTTTTTTTTTTTATATAAAATCTAGTAAACAATTCAATTTGATGATAACCATGACAATGAATTGATCATGATGAAAGAGAGAGATACCTACGCGGATGCAAGCTCTGGCTTCGAACGTGAATGAGGAAGCAGTTTGAGCCGGTGTTCAACAGGTTATCCACCGCCCATTTTACAGCAAGTTGGCTATTCCTGTCCTTATCAATGGCAATGGCTGTGAATGCAGAGGTTTCTTCCATTGCCAAAGTTGATGATCCTGATGCCAAAAACTCCTCACCCGAATCCTTTATACTATGTCTTTCCTCCTTAAACAATGTGGCTTAGATGGTACCAGGATTGGGGTAGGAAATTGCCTTTCTTGACTGTCAAGAAAACAATTTATTGCAACACTACCCCTTCTCTGTTGCTATCACCAATTCACCACCATACCGACCCGGAGGCCTGCGTTAGGTTTAACAAACTAATGGATGAAGAAGAATGAAAGAAAAACAAACATATATATCCTTGTTTGCTAACTTTTTACTAAATTTAGCTACCATAACTACAGGAAAAAGAAACAACATTTTGCCAAACAAGCTATATTTCCTCCTCTCTTTCTTTTCTATTGTAGCTAGTAAGGATTCACTGTTGGGAATCAGTTTTGCTCTGGACTTGATAAAATTCTTGAGAGTTTTTGAACCAGAAAATTGGATAGTAATGAATCATTCTTTCAGGTTTTCATTAGTTTGAAAACAATTTGAACGATGCACTGTTTAATAATAATATTTCTTCATCCACGCAAACTCCTAAGAGACTTATAAGACATATATTTTTTTTTGGGTTGCTGACAACCTCGTCATTTTCCTAAATACCAAGACAAATATTGCTAATGCTTGACATCCAAATACAAATTGTGTATTATGATTTCGAATTGATTTTTAATTTTTGATATTATTCTATTAAACCCCAAACCATGATGACTGACCACCCTCAATAAAGGTCACAATTTGCCAAAACTTTGCTCCTGTTATTTTCTTTCTTATGGAAAAACAATATTCATGATTTACTGCTAGAAATAGGAAGTTTTTAAACAAATAAAAGACAAAATTGAAGGTTTCATTTACTTTATGTGACCCATTTTGGCTTCCAAAACAGTGCCGTGAGTCTTGGTAATTGCAAAAGAGCTCTCTGTCAAGGCTAGTTTTGGGCTGTCTTTGCTCCAGCTTGCTACAGATTGTTCATTCCAATGTCCAAACCCCAGCTGCTAAACCCAATACTTGTAAATGGATAAGATTCCAAACCCTGAAAAAGGAGGTTTCCATTTGAAGATTTTATTATTAATTTGCATGTATTAAAAAAGATTGTAGGGACCACAGCATGCCACCATGGTAATCCATAATTTACAGTATATAAATTCATTTTTGTGGATTAGATAAGCTGATTATGCCAAAAGGATAAAAAGAGGGGCATCATGTATGCAATGAGAGAATTATTATTCTACACAGTATATCTCTTAAAATCCAATACACTTTTTCCCTACAAAATACCAACAAATTAAAAATTTAATCCATGTCATACATTAACAATACAGAGAATTGACTCAAACGCTCAATAGTTAATCAAAGTTCAGAATTCAACTTAAGGTGCCTTTTGATTAAATTTATTTATAAAAAATGCTGTAGGAAGAAAAAGCCTTTAAAATAGGTACTAGTATGGTATTTGAACGTACGCAGAAGTAAGAAGCAGAGCAAAAAATTAAACCAATGGATCACATGGGTTCAAACGCATTGTTGGTGTGGATATGACTTTTGAGAGGAGAGAACACGTGTCTCTCCTCAAAGTTTGCCTCATGAAAAAACAGAAAAATCATGTGTAGGTGTCTTCATGTAAGCACTGTCCTCTCATTTTCTGTCTTAAAAGCATTCAATGAAGTAAGATAATTACATGTGTACGTGTCCCCTAAAAAAAGCTATTCTCCCCACACATATTCTTTCTTTTTCTCCATCTCTTTTTTCTTTTCCTTGCCTATCTTTCCCTCTCTCTCCTAACCCTCCACAAACCCAGAAACAGAGACAAATCTAGGGAAAAAAAAGGAGGCTTCTTTCTTTCACCTTTTTATTTTGTTTGAGGCCCCAAAGTCTCTTCATTTCCTACTGGTAAGCATCCTTTTAATCATTTCTTGAAATAAGTTTGATATTTTTCCCTTGTTTTAAGGGGCACAAGATCAACTTTTTACCATTTTTCCAGGTGGTTTTAGTGGTTTCTTTCTAGAGACATAATTCTAGTAGCTTGTTGTTGTTATCTGTGGTTGGCGTGTTTGTTCGAAGGAAGGAGAAGGAAAGTGAAAGAGACCTTTGTTTTAAGAAAAGGCTGAGATAGGTTGCCATAGATCCAGGAGACTCAAGTTGTCTGTGGCAAAAAGTTTACCTTTTTAGGGTTTCCCTGTGATTATCTGGGTTTGTTTGTACTTTATTCTAGGTTCTTTCTCATGACACCTTTTGCTTTCTCTTCTTTCGGTTTATTATAGATAAGGGCCTTGAATTTGATGTTTCCATTTGTGTAAGTGTTAAAAGGGGTAGGTGGTGTGGATAGGATTTAATTACCTTGCTTGGTTCTCTCAAAAGGTGAAGAATTTGATAAGATGTGGACTCTTTTGAGAAACTCAGTGACCGGTTTGAATTTCATTAATTATAAGGGTTGATCCGTTGTGCTCCTTCACCAGATCTGATTAATCCTATCTTCATTCTGCTTGCGTTTAACTCGTGCCCGTCTTAAAGTTTTAATCTTGGTGGTGTGCTATTTCTTTACTTTATGCGTTTGTTATGAAATGATTGGTGCGTCATCGAGATTCATTACAATGGAGAAGGTGTTGACAGAACCTGCTGGCTTGATCCCAAGTTTGTTGCTGGAAGGAGATAATTAAGATGAATATTGATAAATTGTGTCAATTTTTTAGAGATTTGAGTTGTAACTGTTTGTGGCATAGAGGGGGGAATTGATGGAAGAGATGTCTTCAGCCGTTGCATTAACGCTTAGTTTAGGTAACTCTATGTGTGAGAACTCCGGAATTGCAACCCATCTGGAAATCACACGGATCAAGCTCGTAACTGATGCAGCAAACTTGTTGTCTGATTCTGCAAAGGTCATGTCTCAGGAATCTATTTCTTGTAGCAACAGAAATTCTGAAGATGGTAAGAATGAAGGTAACATGGTGACAATGTCAGCATCGAAAGAGGGTGTTGAGGAAGGAGCTGGTTTGTTGAAGATGTTACCCGATAATGGAAGTAGATCAATTGCTACTAGAGAATGCATGACTCAGGAAAGTGAGGAAGATGAAATTTTGTCAGGGGACACTAATGGAATTATCAATGAGGGATTGCTGGTTTTGAATGCCCGTTCTCATATAAGCTTGCGAAACGCAGAAATTGAAAGTGGTCGAGTTCTTGCCAAGGCTATTATTTTGGGAGAGTCTAACATTGAGCAGGTGCCTACAGCTGAATTTCTTCTCACCACGGTGAGTCCAGATGCAAAGACTTCTGATGGTTTTGATTTAAAGGCCTCTGAAGTGGTTATTCAGCTGCCTAGTGAAAAGAATCTCAATAGAGTTAGCAGGAGTGTTTTTGAGTTGGATTGTATACCCCTTTGGGGTTCTGTGTCTATTATTGGAAAAAGAACAGAAATGGAAGATGCTGTTGCTGCTGTGCCTCGGTTTGTAAAGATTCCTATCAAAATGCTTATTGGTGATCATGTTCTTGATGGAATCAATCAAAGTCTGACTGACCTTACTGGACATTTTTTTGGTGTTTATGATGGCCATGGTGGCTCCCAGGTACAGCATTCCTCCTAAAAACCTGTTTTACATTTTAACTCTAAAAATTTTTGAAGATTTCTGAATTAAATGGTAGTTGCCTACTGCAATCCTCCTAATCCTATTGACTTTTTTTTTCCTGCACAATCCTCTGCAACTGTCAGCAAATTTGGATAATTGCCTACTGCAACAAATTTGTTTTTCTGATACAAGTGATTTCTTGATCTTTTCCTTGCTTGTTCACCATATTTTGATCATTTAAATTTGTTTGTGAATGATTCCAAAGTGATCAACCTTTTAGCATGGCTTATTGGAATCTCGTGCAGGTGGCAAACTATTGTCGTGACCGTATCCATGTGGCTTTGGTAGAAGAGATTGAGAGAATTAAAGACAATTTATGTGATGGCACTAGCATGGAGAGTCGACAGGTACAATGGGAGAAGACATTTACTAGTTGTTTTTCAAAGGTTGATGATGAGATTGGAGGAAAAGTTAGCAGAGGCATGATTGGAGGCAATGAAGATGCTTCTGATGCTAGTTTTGAACCTGTTGCCCCTGAAACTGTTGGGTCAACAGCTGTGGTGGCCTTGGTTTGTTCATCACATATTGTTGTTGCAAACTGTGGTGATTCAAGAGCAGTCTTGTGCCGCGGCAAAGAAGCCATGGCATTGTCAATTGATCACAAAGTAAGGCATTTTAAAGTATTCGGTTCTTCTACAATTGGAAAGGAAGCTTCTGTGTATGGAAACCAACATTTTTGCTTTGTTGTTTTGCAGCCAAACAGAGATGATGAGTATGCAAGGATTGGGGCATCAGGAGGGAAGGTTATACAGTGGAATGGACATCGTGTATTCGGCGTTCTTGCAATGTCAAGGTCCATTGGTATGTTTATTTCTGCTTGAAATGAACATTGTAAAAGGTGAATCATGATAGATTAGTGATGGAAGTTTTGAGTAAAGTCTAGAGTTGCACTTACTTTCTTCTTTATGTTATCACATAGGTGATAGATATTTGAAGCCGTGGATTATCCCAGAACCAGAAGTTATGTTTATCCCTCGAGCTAGAGAAGATGAATGCCTGATTTTGGCCAGTGATGGGTTGTGGGATGTCATATCAAATGAGGAAGCTTGTGAGGTGGCTCGGCGGCGAATCCTGCTCTGGCACAAAAAGAACGGGGTTCCATCTCTTGTGGAAAGAGGCAAAGGAATTGACCCTGCGGCACAAGCAGCGGCTGAATACCTTTCGATGCTAGCCATCCAAAAAGGGAGCAGTGACAACATCTCTGTAATTGTTGTAGACTTGAAAGCTCAAAGGAAGTTCAAGAGCAAGTCATAATCGAGTCTCATCCCCTCAACTAAAATCAAAGTCTATATATCTAACATATTATAGTGAGTACATCTAATGAATACATAGCTGCGGTCCATTACTTTTTCTTATGGGCTTAATGTGTGTACGAGAATAGAAATTAGTTTGTACAATAGCAAGCGTATTTGAATGCCATATTGCCAATGTTTTTAGTATAGATGGCTTCAAGCTTTTATTCTTATACACGCTTAAATTCAAGCTACTGCCAATATAGATGGGGAGAGGATTTGCATTCAGTCCCATCCATTATTTGTTTTTGTAGATTTTAACTATATGAGCACCTGGGTTTGACCTTCTATTTGTGTCCTGAAATCTTGATACAGGGTTAAATAACATGGTCCTAAGGACTGATAGGGTACTTTGAGTTTCCCATTTTGTTTGAAATGCTCCCCTGCCTCAAGGAACCATGGCTTTTGTATTTAATGAAGACATAGCTTTTCATTTATTTTTTTCAACGGCAAAAGTATTTTTAATCAGAAGCCTATCAAAACAGTACTTGGATAGAATGAATACCAGGAGCCCCCTAAGTAAAAGAAAATGTGTATAGACATGGCTCCAACAAAGGGTTACAATTGAATAGCGCAAAACAGATCCAGAATGGTTAGCTTTTTAATGCAAATATACTCCTCAGGATTGAGCAATAGATCTATTGCGGGCAAAATCTGGTATAAGAATAACAATAGATGG